ACTCCATCACGCCAACCTCCTCCTCCTCTTCTTTTATCGCGTCTTTAACATCATTATCGCACTCACTCTGGTTTATACCCTGAATATTGAGAACAATGAGATCAGATGTAACTACATAGATAATGAAGAGGTCAACCATATCAGCAATCTTTCTTGAAATGTCCTCTTCAGTCCAGAGTCACTTTTCTGCTCTATACACCGAGTCCCACCTACCTGATCATGGTGGGGGACGATTAGATCTTCCTGGGTGGGATCCCGGGAATACAGAGGACGGGGACATCTCTCTGGTGGGTTCCTCTTACTGGATCCATCTGTAGGAAACACACACACTGACTGAATACATTGTTTCTATGTGTGTATCAGATGATGGGGTATCTAGGTGGACCCTCCGTACTGCTCTCTCCTCTTACCCGGTGATGTGAGGGGCGGCTCATTCTCCATCACCACGTCCTTGCAGAGATCCCGGTGTCCTTCTAAATGCTCCTCCATGGAATTATCCTGACCCCGTATAGGAACCTGACACACACAATGATACAGTCACCATATAATATACATCTGCTACTAGAAACATAATCGATGGCTAACACGCTACAATATCCTACAACTATAGCAGACATCACAGTGACTACTGTGGACAAGGACGGACATGACGAGGAGGTTACCGGACGTACATATAAAATAATATCGTATTACCTCCTCTGCTGCCAGTTGCAGCAATGTCTCCTCTCTACTTCCCTCCAACTCACCTCTCACCCGGAAGTTCCTGTTTATACTTCTGCATCACTTCCTGTCTTTACCTTACATCACTTCCTATCTTTACATCACTTCCTATGTTTACAATACATCACTTCCTGTGTGTGCATTCAATGTGAGATCACCACCTAGTGTTGGATATAAATACTGCAGCCTATAGTATGTTTCAGTATTATTGATTACAGACATTCATACGACTCCTTATATACTGTACATACGAAGTTCCCGGATTAGCCAGGACAGTCCCTCTTTTTGCTCCCCCGTCCCTCCTGGTCTGTGTCCCGGGAAATGTTCTGGGACAGATTAGGAGTCACTAGCTCAGCCACCGCCCGGCCGCATCTTATTTATATATATTCCAGTTTCCATAGCAACGTCCACAAATATACATATTAATAAAAAGTGGGAAACTACGTTTGAATCAGCTGTGGCCTACTCACACCCGGACCAGGTCACTAGCTGCTGTAGTAAAGAAATAATAAAAAAATATTCCCCATGTAAATCCCGCCCACCGAAAAGTCCCGCCCACCAAGAAGGCAAGCATGGGAGCCCTGGCGGTCAGGTACAAGGATTAAGGGGTGCTGCAGAGAAGGTGAGGGTGAGCAGAGAGGTGTGAAGTGAGGGTGGGGTTGGGCAGAGAAGGTGAGCAAAGAAAGCGGTAGGCAGAGAGGTAAGAAGAGAGGTGGGGGGTAGAAAGGGAGGGCAGAGAAGGTGAGGGTGGGCAGAGCGGTGGTTCAGAGAGGGTGAGCACAGTGGTGGGCAGAGAGGAGGGCGGAGAGGGTGAGTGCAGAAAGTGAGCAGAGTAGAGGGCGGAGAGGGTGAGCAGAGAGGAGGGCGGAGAGGGTGAGCAGAGTAGAGGGCGGAGAGGGTGAGCAGAGTGGAGGGCGGAGAGGGTGAGCAGAGAGGTGGGCGGAGAGGGTGAGCAGAGTGCGGAGAGGGTGAGCAGAGAGGAGGGCGGAGAGGGTGAGCAGAGTAGAGGGCGGAGAGGGTGAGCAGAG